TGGAGGAGAAAACCACCGGTTTACGACGACGATGGATCGCGTGGCCACGCGACAAGAACAGAGACGACCCTTATGAGGCTCATGTTCCTCTTTTGCACATTTCCCATTATTTGCCACCTGTGATGGCTGAGGCCGCTTCCTGCCTGGATTTAAAGGCATCCTTTTTTCAAGTCTCTTTACCGCGGGAGACTCGGCATCTCTTTCGATGCCGCGTGGAGGACGGCACGCTGGTGGAGCTTACACGGCTCCCAATGGGATACAAGGCCAGCCCAGAAATTCTCCAGATTATTACTTCGGCAATCGCGGGGGTGACGACGGTGGTTCACCGCCTCTGGGCTGCACCTCCATTGGTGCGTGTCGACGTTTGGATCGATAATATACGCATTTCAGGGTCAAAAAGCGACGTTAAATTGTGGGAAGCCCAAGTGCTTCGTAATGCGGACAGTTGTCACGCATCCATGGGGGAGGAACGCGAATCGGGCGCTACGCATTACACCTTTCTGGGGGTGCAGTTTGATCATACTCACCGGGCGGTATCCCTGAGTGAGAAGTTTGTCCGGTCTGTATGCGCCATGCCGGCGTTCAATTCTCTAACCATCGCGGAAATGGAGGTTGTGGCGTCACGCTTTTTATATTTGGCGGCCATTTTTGGCACGCGTTTAAGTGACTACCACTTTTTCATCAAGGCAGCGCGACGGCGATTATCCGCAGTTAACCGGGGAATCGTGCAGGAGACATCCCCGGCGAACCTTCCGCCGTCAGCGGTTGGTTTGGGCGAGAGATTGCGACACATCATCGAGAACAATCGCAAGCGCATCATCAATCCCACTGAAAAGGCATCAGCCGCCATCATCACGGACGCATCGCTCCATGGATGGGGAGCCGTTTTCCTTCCAGACTCCGGCGACGTTAAAATTGCCGGAGGAAAATGGAAGCGGAGGCCTTTTCTTATCATGCAGGCCGAGGCGCGCGCGGTACGCTTAGCCTTATCGGCCTTTTCCGCCATCTTGCCATCCACTATGGACGTTTGGGTGGACAACACTTCGCTGCAAGGAGCGGCGAATAAAGGCAGCTCGAAATCGCACGCCATGACGTGGGAGCTGCAACGAATATATGTGTTTTTGGACTCTCGCGGAGTGCAGGCAACTTTTGCCTACGTGCGGTCTGCAGAAAACCCCGCAGACGGCATATCGCGCGGTCGTGTGTTTACACTTCAGGACTTGGCGAAGGGGTGGAACTTGCGAAGGGGAGCGGCGGGGTCTTGTGGTTGGAGGACCCCAAAGTCTGCCACTTCGTAAGTAATAATATGTAAATCCTAACTGAGAACTAAGGACCATGCTAGTGGTCCACAGAATTCTATATATATTGAATGAAAATAAAACATTGAAGCAATTAACTAACGAACCTTTTTCCCTAACTTGTTTGGTTTCCATAGATTATTTCAGGATCCGGCCAGCTGCCCAGAAGATTATTCTAGGAGCTTGTGAAAAGAATGATCGCGGAAGAGCTGGCTAACTTAATTAATGTATGTTTACATCCTGATAAATGCAGACATTCTTTATGATACTTTTCTACCGTATGAATCTTTTGGGAAGAACGCGACTTTGTGGGGGCAGGGAGCCGATAGCGGCAAGATAATTTTTTGTTTTTATTTTGCCATCCCACCCACCCCCTTTTGATTCCCACCACGCGGCGGGGTCTTGTGGTTGGAGGACCCCAAAGTCTGCCACTTCGTAAGTAATAATATGTAAATCCTAACTGAGAACTAAGGACCATGCTAGTGGTCCACAGAATTCTATATATATTGAATGAAAATAAAACATTGAAGCAATTAACTAACGAACCTTTTTCCCTAACTTGTTTGGTTTCCATAGATTATTTCAGGATCCGGCCAGCTGCCCAGAAGATTATTCTTATTATTATTATTATTATTATTATTATTATTATTATTATTATTATTATTATTATTATTATTATTATTATTATTATTATTATTATTATTATTATTATTATTATTATTATTATTGAGTCCCTTTGCTTTTCCCTTTCTCATTGTGGGCATGATCGCTGGGCAAACCACTGCTGTCAGGGGACCGGCTTGTGTTACGGTGTTATTGTTATTCCACCTCAATATATATTATTATATCTATTTTTTTATTGCATACGCAGGATAAACAGAAACGGGAAAAACGGTTAGGAGTGGAGTGGTTTCTTACGTGGCTGCTGCCTGGCGTGGTATGCCTGAATCAAATTTTTTTTTTTTGTTTTCATGGCCCATGGTGTGTCCTCCCTTTTTCTATTTTTGTGTGTGTCTACCTTCATTTCATTTTTTTTGCCTTGTGGGATGTTTGGCGCCAGCACTCGTGATTCCTGCTATACATGCTGCCGGAGAGTGACGACTTCACAAATAACGCGTGGGATCCACAGAGCTGGATGCATGACCTGCGCTCGTTTATTGGCGAAATGGCCATAACACAGGTGTGTCTTGTGGGTTCTCACAACGCGGCATCGTACGGCACTCGCAAGGATTCACCATTTGGTGCGGACGCGCCGGGGTTTCTTCTTGGTGACTCGGTGTTTGCTTCTCTGTCACGCTTACTTTTTCGTGGGATCTGTGCATCTTGGTCAAGGTGTCAATGGATGTCTGTACGCGCGCAGCTGGACTACGGTGTGCGCTATCTGGACCTGCGCGTTGCGACAAACCCAGAGGACGCCAGCCGACTGTACATATCACACACCCAAATCTCTGTGCCTCTGGCTGATGTGCTTGAAGATGTGAAGGCGTTTCTCAATGACCCCCTTTCTGCGAATGAATTTATTGTGCTTGATTTTCAACACCTATATCTCACGGATGACAGTGACGGGAAGGGTAAGTTCTTCAAGGAGTTGGAACGCCTTTCAGATCGCTTTATACCCGTCGATGTGCCGCTCACAACGCCGTTGGAAATGTTGTGGAGGGTCTCGCGCAGGCGCCGCATCTTTCTTGTGGTGAGCAGTGGAGAGGATGAGTTGCCATACCCCGCGGTGCGGATTCGCTCTAAATGTATGGTATCTCGATGGGTAGATCAGGGTTCGTTGAGGAAGCTGCTGCAGGCCCTCAATAATTTGCTACTGGACGATCTAAAGTATCCCCAGACTGGCGTGCCTTCAAAACTGCACGTTACACAGGCTGTCTATACGCCACGAAAGAGTAACATTTTTCGTGGTATTTTCCCAAAAGTATCAAGGAAGGTTGTCTCGAGTATTTATGCCGTGGCAACACGTGTGAACCCGTCCTTGCTTGAGTGGTTTTATCTGCTGAATGCACATGGGCTCTTGGATGGTGCCAAGGTGATGATTCCATCAGGGATAAACACACACGGAAACATACTTATGCTGGACTGCGTGGAACTGGGCCGCTGTCAGATAATGGACGGCACGACGGAGACAAATGCCGTTGGCATGTGTGTATACCTTAACTTCCTACGCGCTTCGCGTCTATGTGAAGATTCCTCGGCAGCGCCGTTTTTGAAAGAGGGTTAGCTGCAGTGACAAGGCAATGAGAAAGGCCGTGAGGGGAGTGGGTGAGTTTTCTCCCACTCCTCACATTTAATCGTTTTTTGCTTTTCTAATTATTACTGGGCTTTTTTTTTGCTTTGTTTTGTTTTTTTCTTTTTATTTGATGCCGCTTACTTCTCGCTGTCCATCCACTTTATTTGCGTTGCTGGCGTTCCGCAAGCTTACGGGAGACGTTACTGAAATTTCTCATTCTTTCTTGTTGATTTATACGACGTGGCCATGTAGAGGCAGGGCGCTGCGGAGATGAGCCATCCTCGCGAGCAGCAGCCACTACCGCCCAGTAGCATGCGTGCATTTGTGGCATGCTCCACATTCTAGTTTGGCGGGGTCGTGGGCCTGGGGGCATCGGTGGCGGCATTGTCGTTTTCAAATACCCACGATAGGGCCTGCGCAGTTGTTGTGCGAGACCGTTTGAGCGTGCGGTGGTGCGCCTCACGCGGGAGTCCCTGTCGGTCTCCCGACCCACTGAACCCGGACTCCGTGCTGAGTTGAGCCGGCGGAAAGCGCGGGAGAGACGCCGCCACGTGTCCAGGAAGGGAGACCGGGTGCCGTACTACTTTGCCTTCTTCACGCATTCAGGCATTTTTTCTTCTTAGGTCGAGGGCGTCTTGGCGGCGGACAGGATCGCCGCCGCGCTGCAGCTCCTGAGTGTTGCGGACGCGACCCTTTGCGTTCCCGGTGCAGGACGCGGGCAGTGGCTCGTGCAAAACCGGCCGTTGCCGGCGCCCTCTGCAGGATGCCGTTCCCCGCCGAATTTGACGACGCGTGTGCCCGTGATTCAGCGGGGTGGTCCGAGGGGCGAAATGCTGCGGCGTATTCGAATGCGTGAGGCCATTTCTTGCGTGCCGCCCCGTTCTTCGTACGCCACCTCTCCGAGAACTGAGGGGCGGCGGGCAACTCGCCCGCTGTCGCGTGGATCGTCTTTTTGTGCTCCACGCCCAAAATTACGGCCGCTGCCTCGCCAAATCGCCGCAAGCACGTCGGCGGACGTGGGGGCCCGCCTCTGCCACGCACGATTCGCGTCTTGCTCACTCCGTGGCGCAATTTCCTGCCGGAGCGAGGCGGAGACAGCCTCTGAGATGCGTGGGCTTCTGCATCTTCTGGAAAAGGAGAAGAAAAGGAACGTGTTGTTGGAGTCGCAAGGAAGGTGCATCCGTGCCCTCCGCCTTATGGAGGAGGCAAATGCCCCCTGTCTTCGCGCCAGCAGGTAACGGCCACCAACGGTGCCCCTCCTCCCGTGACGGCCAGCAGAAGCCTTGCAAGGAGTCACAAGACATGGGCGGAAAATAAGCTTTTCAGACAGTGTGCGATGGCGGGTACGCATGACTCGAGCAGCCGCCACAGGCATTGCGTACACAGCAGCGATCTTCTGGAGGCGTGGTGTCGACCGACGTCGCTGTGAAGCGTGAGGAAAGGAAGGAGAGTGAGGCAGTCACACCAACCTTGGCGTCACTTGGCACGCAGATGGGGAGCAATGAGGAGTTGAATGGGGCACGTCGGATGGGATCACAGCGCAAGACTGAGCAGCAGCGGCAGCAACAATTCTCCGCCAACGGCCTTTTGACCTCAGAGGCTCTGGCGCGAGAAAATCTGGGCTCGGAATTGTCGCGGGGGAAAGAAGAGGCGGTCAAAATTGAGTTGCAGACGCTCGTGGAGAGAAACCCCTCTCCTGCAGCAGCAGCAGCAGCAGCAACTGCAACAAATGCGGCAGAGGCATGCTCAGCGACGCCAGCAGGAGGTGGTGGCGTTTTGCACGGCCAATGGAGGGAGCTACGCCAGCGAGAGATGGGAGGAAATGATGCAGGCAGATGATCACGCAAGAGGAGAGGGGGAAAACGCAAGCCGAGCCTCTAGAAATGAAGAGGGCTGGTGCAGCCCCACAGTGGAAGCAGCACGAAGTGCAGGAAAGGATTCCCTCGAAAACAAAAGGTGCGCTACGGGTGTCTGGGACGTGGAATGGAGTTAGGGATTCAGAGAGTGGCCGCCACTATTACGTCAACACGGAGGCAAAGCAACGTACATGGAAGATTAAGAAAGGTCCTTGCAAACGAGTGATTGGTGGCATGCTTGCATATGAGGCCAACGGGGCGTCATGCGGCTTACGCTGAAGCTTTTGTTTTGGTCGCACTTTCGGGTACTATAATGGAGTGGAGGGGAAAAAATGAAAAGACGCTGTGTGCTCTTTGCCTTCTTATCAATATTATTATTATTCTTATCTCCTTTATTCAACAGAGGCAGTTTATTTCTTAATTTGCAGCAAAAAAATCACCACGTTTTCTTTTTTTTTTTTTTTTTTCGAGAAGCAGCGGCTTGAAAAGGAGTGATCATACATTGGCGATGCACAACCGCAGATGTACGTCCATTGCAGAAGGTCGCTCCATTTTGATGTAAATGTGACGGTCACACTTTACACTCAACTGTAAAGGCGTGTCACTGCCAACAAGCATCCTTCTTTTTAATTCCTCTTACTGCTCTGCTGCAAAATAAAAAAGGATTGGCATCAGCCAAGCCATCAATAATAAAATCACGATAATGACGAAGTACCGACTACTGTGCGCCCTGTTGGTGCTTGCCCTGTGCTGCTGCCCGTCCGTGTGCGTGACAGCCAATGGTAATAAACAGAAGAACACAACCACAACGACGACGACCACACCAGCACCAACTACGACGACCACCCGCGTACCCTCATATGCTTTCTAATTTGATTTTGGATACAACAGCCCTGCGTGGGTTTATGCCCCGCTGGTGCTCGCGGTGTCCGCGCTGGCGTACACCACTTTATGCTGAGGAAAGGCGTGGGCTGTGAGTGCCGGCACACAACTGCAGTGATTGTTGTTCCTCTCTTGTGGGTTAATGGATAAAACAAGATAAATGATGATCTTTTTTTTTTTTTTTTTTAGGCAGAGATAAAGAGAATTTTTTTTTTTTTTTTGCTTAGCCTCGTGCTTCCTGTTTTCCCGCACATTCTTCACATGGCAGGCATCCGAGAAAAGCGCTTTTGCATGACACGCATACGACTGTTTGCGTGTACGCATAGTTGGGAGTGCATGCGCACTGGGGTCTTTGGGTGCAGTTCTCTGTTTTTTCTTTTTTTTTTTGCTGCAGGGCTATGTCTGTGTATTTTCTTTTTTCACCTATTCCATCAGCCTCATGGTGTGTGTGTGTGCTGCTGCTGTTTTTTTTGGAGTACTGGCCGTGTTTCTCCTTGCTCTCCCATGCCGTCAAAGGTTGGCTTTACAGTGTTAAGCAAGTTTATTTTTTGCGATGCTGGCGGTGATGGTGATGCGCCCTTTCTTGTGTGCCCTGCTGTTTTTTGCGCTCTGCTGCTGCTTTCCTAATTCCTCGTGTGCGGCTTCTGCCACAGCCAATAATGCCACTGAGA